TTTTTTTGAGAGGGTGGTGGGATTTTTTCAAAAAAGTGAGTTTAGAGTGTGGTATCAGGGGGGTTTGTTTGTTTGTAAAATGTGGGTGGGGTGGGTTTGGTTTTTTTTTTGTATGCGTAAAAAAAAAAAAAAAAGCGGGGGGGGGGGGGGGGGGGGGGGGTCCGGGTAGAGATGAGCTTACTGGAAACTGAGAGTTTGCATGCAGGTACCGTCTTTGCCGTCTTAGGGTTCAGCAAACTAAATATCACGTTAACGTCTTACGGCAAACGCGAATTTGTACCACGTGACCAAGTTTCCTCTTTACTTGTCGTTTACAGTTCATTATTTTAACACATAATTTAGTAGTTTCAGGCAATTTTTTCCATAAGAATTGTTTTTAGCTGTTTTTATCTGCTTATTTTCTATTTTGAGAAATTCTTAACGTAAATCTGACGTTTGCCGTGAATCTTAAAACTTTCTAATATCACTCTCATTTGCACCTTTGTATAAGACACCATTTTTAAAGTGTAAATACAAATTGTTCAAAAGGTGGATAGCGCTATCCATCGGATGAATCTCTATCCAATGAATAAGCATTAGGGAAACCAATTGCACTATCCACTGGATAGAGATTTATCCGGTGGATAGCGCTATCCACCTTTTGAGCAAGTGGGGCCTCAGTTGTATTGATAGTCCAGTACCTACCGTTCCGAGATGACTATGACCGCTGAATAACGAACTGAAGACGCGTTTTTACAGGCTTAGCCTCGACATAATGTAAAATATTCACCAATTCCAACGAGAAGAAAACCTGTTTATTACCCTGTCTATTGTGTATTTTCAAATTTCAAACACTCACTTGCCGGAATTTGTGAATATTTTACTTTATGTCGAGGGTAACCTTGTATGAGTGCGTCGTTAATGTTTGTATTCATCAGTAATTTGTAATTCGAAAATGGACTATTTAGGGTTAACAAATCACTGACAAATATGCATTCAGCCTTTTCTCGATGCTGCTTATCGTAATAGTCCTTACAAGGGGCTGGTGATGTTGGTGAGGGGAGGGGGAGTTAGGGTGAAGGAAATCCCCATTGGTTCTCAGGGCGCTAAGTTTGACACCTAATTCTGTGTTTATCTTCTGTAGGTTACGCAAGCATTACACATAAATTGTTTAGTACATTCCTAATTTGCTCCATCGATGCAAGGGATTCCCCCGTGTACGAGGAGCAGTAGCAGAGACATGGTTGGTCACTGTGAAACCGAGAAGTCTGTTTCAGTAAGTTGTTGTCTGTTTTATCAACTCCTTTCTTTTACAAACACCAGGCCAACCGGCTTTAATTCTTTGTATAAGGTGGTGAAAGGGAAATTCAATACTACGCACTCAGATAGTGAGAGATTCATCCGCAGCGTACCAGAGATTTTATACATGTACAGTAGTTTCTACAAGGCTTTCGCAACTCATTGCTGTTGTAACTAGGAAAAATTTGTTTTACTTCTAGCAACCTTTAATTTTTTGGACCAAATAACACGGTGTCACCAGTCACTTGTAAACTTTTCACAGTAGTGTTTTTGTGAATTGAATTTACCAGTATTGGGACTTAAACCATGGACCGCAATCAAGACTTCAGCAGGACTGAGTATTTGAGACTAGAATTATTCTCTCTCGGAAAAACTAAACCAACGTAGAGAACCGCTCCAAAGGCCAATTAAAAATATCAAAATATTACAAAAAATATATCAAAAACTGTATCAAATGATTCCTTTGAAACTGAACTGAGTTTTTTAGATATCATATTTTAGACATTTTAATCATTTTTGAAAATCACGTAATACCTCCTCGCTTCTCACATACATTGCTTTTCTGAAAAAGTTACTTCGATTTGGCTGGCGAACTCAGTAATTCTCAGTTCGGCATACTGACTTTGGTACCCCGCAAAAAAAGAAAATTTCTGGCTTCGAAAGCCGCAATTCCGATGGTATTAAATCTGCGGGATAGTTGTGAAGAAATGGTAAATAGATCGGCGTTTAGTAGGTGCGGAATAAGGTGGCTGAGCACAAAATAGGATATTTACAGAAAGCTTCAGATATACGGCAAAAGGAAAATGTCAGTTCAGGTTGAGAATTTCCCAAATAGAAAATGAGCAAATAAAAGCAGCTCAAAACAATTCTTATAGATACAAAAATTGGGTGAAACTACTAATTTATTTCAGTGTAGAAATAAATGTACAGAAACGACAAGTAAAGGGGAAATTTGGTCACTTGGTACAAATTCGCGCTCGACGTAAACGTCTTTAAAACCTCTCTATTGATTTGGTAATATAGTACGTATGGTCATGATGAGGTCCTCTGACCGGAGGGAGTACCGGGGGGGTTACTTCCTTCTATGGCCTAAAAGAGGGCATGTGCCACTGGACAGGGTATGGTTTTTGACCTCTCTGTCTTAGTCTGGGTATAAAATTTCGTGTGAGTCTGTCGTCAGGGTATTGCCTGAACAATTGATTTTATTTGCTATATGAAATTTGTTTGTACTCCAAGTACACAAAAGCAATGACTTTAACGTGAATAGTTTATTGCAATTGCCAAAAGATGGCTTTAAAACAAGACGACGTGCATTTTGTCCTTTGTCCTAAACAGGGTAATAAATTGAGGGTGTTGTCCTAAACAGGGTACGTGTTATAGAATTTTTTTGTTCTACACAGGGTCAGGGTTTCATAACCTCAGCGGCTCACTTATACCGAAATATTGGTCGGGTAACCCCCCTCCACCCCGGGAGACTTATGTCCTTAGCCACGATGTTTCGCTTATTGAAGGGGAAACTATAACTCTGTTGGTCTTTTGCAACTGTTTTTGCGGTCGTCTTCGTTGCTGTAACAGCTTTACTGAACCATCTCGCGCTGTGGGCGCTTCGTTATTTCGCTAGTACAAGGCTATCTGTCGATTGTCGGATTTTACCCTAACTGGGTCTCTTTAGTAGGGTACGTAAAAGCAAAGGCCGAAGCAGCTGCTAAGAATTTAAACTTCCTGACTAACATAGTAACAAAGCGATTAAAAAAGCCACACCTTTTCTATCGAGTAATGAACACAATACTCGATGGAAAGAAAGTCGACTAAACGGCGTTTAACCGGCCGTAGGACACAGAGTGGCTATGAACTAAATGTAAGGGAGCTATTTGAATCAATATTTCGCGTGATCATGATTTTTTCTCTTAGCGTTGTAGATTCGAATACATGTGATAAAATTCGAACAATAAGGGCCAGAATCACATGTAATAATGCAAGAAATATCGACCTTCGTTATCTTAAAGACTTCTAGTATAGATAGACAAACAAGAAGACTTCATATCTTTAAGATCTTTGCATTTATTTGACATCAGATAATACAGTAATAATTCTAGTGTATTCCGACCAAACGACCTCTGAAGCCCAAATCCAAACATAGTGCGCTTGGGCTGCCTGTGCTTTGACACGAATCAATAGTTAAGAGAACTATTGGTCCCAACTTTATTACCCTTAGTTAAGTTTGGGCACCCGTTGCTTATTGCTGGGGATAACCCTACAAAAGTCAAGACTAGCATTCTTTCTAGTGGGTAGTTATACTCCTAGGTGCTTCATTCCGTACTTATTCACACCTTTTATGGTGCGCCTTTATGCCTCGCTTCTAGTTTTTAAACCTGATCAAAAATACACGAGTTTTTTTAACGGCTTCACAATCTCTGAAATAGATAACCTCATTCTTGCACTTAGATTTCCGGTTATTTTGGTCTAAAAAGTTGGACGTAAAGTTTAGCCGTGTCTTTATCAGATATAAAGATACTCGTTAAGCATTAATTTCGTTTGTTTTTCTTTCTGAATTATTAATGAGTTTTTAAATTATTTTTTAAACTTCAGAGCGGAACGCGATTTTGTTAGAAGGGTCGTAGCAGCTGTACATAGGCATATAATCTATAACCTGTACCCTATAACCTATTTTTATCTCTTCCTCTTTTACTCGGTACAGTGCTTGCCACGTGTGATTCCACTAAATGTTGGAGGATACAATTTTGTAACCACACTGTCAACGCTCACCAAGGACAAAGACTCAATGCTGGCGGCTATGTTCAGCGGAAGACACACCCTGGATACTGACAGTGAGGGGCGATACTTTATTGACCGCGATGGGACGTATTTCAAGTACATTCTAAATTTTCTTAGAGATAGAAACCAGCTGCCTTCAGCTGATGTTGCGCTTGAGGTAAGGATAACATTTGCATGCTTTTCGTCATGAATATAGAGACTATAATTGAAATATTAGGAGAAAATAAAAGCAAAGAACAAAACGAGAAATCACAGCAGATTTAAGAATCTTCTGTAAAGATTTTTAGACAAAGAGAAGAGAGGGAAAGATAAGGAGATCGAGAGGTTGTTAGCCTGCGAGCAGGTTCAATTGTGCGAGTTCGGGGAAGATTTTGGCGGCGCAGACGCAGATACCTAACCTCATCCCAGGGCGCTTTTCCCTGGCTTTGGAGGTGGGGCCTCTCTTCCCACAAAGCACCGCATGACTCGCATTCAATCATCTTTCCCTGCCGAAAATCATTTAAACGAGGATTGGGGATGATTCTGCTTATTCACTTTAATGACTGCTGTCGTTTGCCCCGTGACCCGAGGATGGTGTGGTTGACACTTCAGCTTTTCTTCTTTACCTTTCCAGGTATATAAAGAAGCACAGTTCTACCAAATAGAAGATCTAGTACAAATACTAGAACGGTTCTCTGTCGTGTTCTCAAACAAGTTGGAAAACGCGCGCAAAATGAAACTCGGGAACGACTTATCCAAATGGCAGCAAGACATCATTGCGCAGGCGCAGAAAAAGAGCCTACAGAACCTCGCCTCCACGAGTAAGGTGAGCCTGCTGTCACTCGAGGATCATGAGAAAATCAAAGAATGCGGAGAATGCGTGGGTCCACATGCGCACAATCTGGTGGTATCCAAATCGGCTAAACAGGGTTTAGTACACCATCAGGAAACATTTGAGTACGTACAGAGAAGGTTTAAAGAGACAGATCTAGTCGTTTGCTTTCTGAACAACACGGAAATGAAATTGTTTGTCGGCATCACCGAGGCGGACTTGAAGAACAATGGTTACTGCTGCACCTTCCGCGAAGAGAAAATACGCTGCAAGAACTTTAAAGTTCATTATGGAATAGGCAAAGAGGAGTGCCGCTTTAATGTCACGGAGCACATAGTGGAGTTTGAATGGTAAAACATAGAGCATAACATTGTGGTATAGGGGTTGGGGTCCAGGGGGCACTCCATTTTCAATAGGACAATTGCACTATGACGTCATTTTACTACAACTACCAGAATCCTTTGGAGTGTTGTTTTCTTGTACAAATTAAGGCTAGTGTTCTTTAATTCTCAGCGGGATTGGCAAATTTAAATAAGAAAGCAAAAACGAAATGAATTCTGGTAGTTGTAGTCAAATACCGTCATCGTGAAAATGGCCTATTTCAATTGGATTCCTAGGACTCAATAGACCCTGGAGGATTGATGCATGCATTAAGCTATCAATTCATCCCTCGACTCCATGCATATACAGTGTACTCGTGGTCGATGGTAAATCTCTCATCGTTTTAGTTTTGGTCAGAATTTATACATAAAGTATTTCGGTCCTAATAATATACATGAAAAAATTTCTCGATTGTGATTGGCTAAGAGGAATGCAGTTTTTAGGTAACACGGTGCAGAAAAAAGGTAATTGAGTGCAGAAAAAAGGTAATTTAGTGCAGAAAAGAGTAACAAACGTGACATTCTGATTGGCTAAAAAACAAAGGAACTCACTGAGAGCCAATCAAATGCGCCATCTAAATGGCACAAAATTTGGATCCGCTCCGGACCAGTTTCGAGCAAAAACCGCAATGGTTGGCGTTTGCAGCGCATTTGCTTTTACGACCGAAACAACTGTAGAGGAGCTGAAAAACCGCTCTAAAAACGAAAACACTGCGAAAAGCACTGGTTTTTGGCTCTCTTTTTGGAAGAATTGGTGCGTAGGTAAGGAAATTACTGATGAAATAGAAAATTATGAGCCGGCTGAGCTTAACACTTTGCTCGAGCATTTCTACGCCGAAGTAAACGATACAAAAAAGGTGAAGATTATGAACCAGAAAGCCTTAAAGTAATGAAGGCATCGCTTGATAGACACTTAAAGAACAAAGGCTGCACCCTGTCCATTGTACGTGACCGAGAATTTAGTTCGTCCAAAGAGGTGTTGGAGGAAAAAGCGAAACAGCTTCGCTTGGCTGGCCGTGGTAAGCGCCCAAACAAAGCTCGGCAAGTATCAGAGGAGGAAGAAGAAATTCTCTGCAAGAGCGGAAAACTCGAGGTAATAACCCAGAATCTTTATTTCAAACACATTGAACAATTCCATGAACTGTTCAGCCCGTTTCTGCAGCTTGCAAACTTTAAAAACATCGAGCAAAATGTTGTTTTGACTGCACGTGTGATGATATTTGCAGCATTTGAATAATTTATTTTTGCACGTAGTTTACGCGGGTTGACTCCCTATTAAAGAGATTTTAAAGCTATCTCGCAATTTTTTCATGAATATTATTAATAAGTAATCACATGATTTTTCTCGTGCAATTTGGAATAAATAAGCACTCGTAAATTTTTTCAAAGACCACAAATTGCACTCGCCCTACGGGCTCGTGCAATTTTGTTAGCCTTTGAAAAAATTTACTCGTGCTTATTTATTCCAAATTGCACTCGAAATCATGTGATTACCTGTACAAACATGTGGCTTTTGTCCAGTTTCTGTCAATGCAGAATTGACAAATAGCGGGTATTTCAGCCAATCAAATCGCAGGATTTAAGATAGAATACCAATAGAATTTAACATTACTAATAATTATTAATGGTTTATGACTAGTTTAGAAAGAATAATTTTCCAAGAAAATAGCAAGATTTCCCACAAAGTTTTAAGGATATTTTATTTATTAAAACATTAAAGTATTAAAAATAGTTATTTACGTTGAGACGATAGTTGCGTAAATGCGACTGCATAATAATATATTATATATGAAGAAAATATGAATAAAGTTATAGCTACAGAATGAACATATTAAAGACAAAAACTGCGTTGGGACTCAATCATATTTGAAAAGGTATCCCTGATAAACTTTTGTACTTCGCGGCGTTATTGTTGTTGTCGTTGTTTATGTTAATGTTTTAGGTTGTCCTGTCATTAGATTCTGTGGATTAATTTCTAAATCGTGATCATTCAAACGAAATCTACAGTAAATGCGCAAGGTGCTTCTAGCTTTTCAAGCTGCGGATGAAATCCTAACGTGTAACCATTCAAATCAAAGCTACAGAGCAGTACTTTCCAGTAGCTGTCTTTATTACTCTGTACAACGTGCTTCTAACTAAAGGATAAGTGTTACTTTGCAGTTACTTAGCACTGTTTCCTGTGGCACTGTTAATTCTTCAAGTGAAAGAGGGAGGGAGGGTCGGGAGGGAGCAAAAATTTAGGGCGCTTTCTATTCAAGAAAAACTTCGGTTTGAATCCCGGAAATTCCATGTGCCCAAGCAGTGGAACGGTAAATTCCGGTTGCACAGACAGGACCCAAGCCACTGCGCATTTGATTAGGCGGGGTACAGAAGAGCGTTACTGGGGACAACAACTTGTCAAATAGAAAGAGAAATTCCGGTCTGACCGGAAAGACCGGTCAAAGTGGACCATTTTCATGCGTGCTCTCAAATATTCCGGTCGGTCGGACCAAACTGAAATGGTACGTACCATTTGATTTTCAACCGAAATTTCGGGAATATTGGGCTTAATGGAAAACGCCCCAAGCCTTGTAAACAAGATTAAGCCAATTTACCACGGCAAAAATACAAACAGCAGCGGATTTCTCTGTCTTTTTCAAGACTATCGCGTCTAAATATAGTACTGTACAAATTTTTTCAATCACCTATTCCTAAAGCTCGGTTTCTACGATTTTCTTTTTCGTTAACTTGCGCTTTCCTCTTTATCTTTTCCTTTCTTTGACTTTGCGCTCGTCTTGCGCAGTGATCTTAGTAAGACGTAGTTTAAATACGTTGTGTAGCGGTAGGAAACGAAAGGAATATAAAATGCCCTGAAGACACGGTGAGATCTGAAAACACAACAAAAGAGAACCTTAGGGGAGGGTAGAAAGAGTAAATTCTTTAATAGGGGTGGGGAAAGGGATTAACTAGTCACCAGAACACTCTAGCGAAAAGGGCAAACGTTTCCTTGTCAAGAGGAATTCCTGAGGGTAGGAGTAGCGATAATAAAATGGTATGTGAGGAGAAGTTTGGTTAGATTCTGCATCAAAAACAGACTTGAAAATACAAAGCTTTGCACTTCTATCTTCATGTTCTCCACAAATTAAACCCTTAAAAACTCACTGGTTTAAAGAACATGTCACATTACCAACCTCTCAGCGTCCAGAAACGGCTTTTTTAGTAGAACCTCCCACTCTTTTGTTCGTTTGGCGAAGTCTGGTTCTCTTTCAGTTTCTCTGCCTGTCTCTAGATCCACAAGGAAGTCGCACTTTGTAACAGAAATCTTAAAAAGACCAAAGAGCCCCATGAGACGGGCTTTCAATAATAACACTTCAACCATGGACAAGGAACACTTTTGCATTTGTGGGGCTTTTTTCGGTTTACATATGCCCAACCCATCCCCCATTCCACAAGCACCGTTGGACGCGTGTATCCAGAATTTTTCGATTTTTAACACTGTGTAGGGTGGGGGTAGGGGGAATTGCAAGAAAATTACGAAAAGGTGAACTGTTTTATGAGGGCACCAAGAATTACAGAAAATTATGAATAATGCATTAATGGCACCAGGCAGTTACAAGAATAAACTTGTTCAACGGAATAGAGTCCATCTCTATTCTCCAATTATTCAACAATATTCGAAATGTTAAATGGCCTATTTTGTAACTATACATAGCATGAAATCATCGTGGAAAATTTGTTAAACAATCTCTGCAACTTTCTTAACCAGCTAATGTTGAGCCTTGTATTACTGGCACACATTTCTTAGGGCAACGATGAGGAACATTTGTTAAAAATCAGGGCATTTTAAAGCTTGATATTCATTCTCTCTCTTCTCAGATATCAATGCATGACGACAACGGATAAATTACACCTTTTAAAAACGGCGCGCCTACACCTTTTAAAAACAACATACAGAGGGAGAAATCAACGTTGCACAAACAAGTGCGCCATGAGAATTCACACCTTGTCTTTCTTTTACACTCTTTTTTTTTCTCTAAAGCTCCCTTTTCGTTTGATTTTACTTTTTCGTTAAGCATAATCCCTACAACACTCCAACACCGCCGCCATCATCATCATCATCATCATCATCATCATCATTGCAATTATCGCCACCAACACTTCTACCACTTACTTACGCAGTTACTACCACCACTAACTCACTGTGATCAACAACTCACTTATCATACCATTACTTACATATCTTGAAGGCTCTTCTTCGTTCATGTCGTTCATCTGCGTCGGGATTATTTTAGAGGCGTTGGGTGCGTTGCTGTAAGGTTTTGGTAACTGGCCACGGAATTCGGAGCGTATAAACTGGAGGTACCACCTAGCGTAAATCATATAAAACGTGGTAATCAGTATAAAGCTCTGGTAATAGAGAGAAGTGTGACGTCACGTTGCCATGGTAAGAGTATTTCTGGATGACAACAAAATCAAAGACGACGGCGACGGCAAGGAGAATGGCAAAAAATAATATGTTTATGTTAACAAACAACAACTTTGCACGTGCATCACGCTATTTTGTACATTTTTTTCCGTCGTTGCACCACTACGACATGAAACTTCCTAATTTCACGAGCCCGCTTTATGGAGTAGGTGAACAAAACACAAAAACTGTCGCTTTCTTTTTCTAAACGTAGATAACAATAGATAGGGTCCCAAAGAAAATTCACCAAGATTTGCCAAATTAAATGAAATTGAATAAGATCGGTTAAGTTTGAATTAGTGCAAATAGACTTTTAAGTGACTTTATCGGTTTGTTGTCATCCAAACATTTTGCTACCATGGCAACGTGACGTAACGATTTCTCCTCTCTATTGGCAACAAAATTTGGAGCAAAAAAAAATATAAATAAACAGAGGGTACGGTTGACTTTCTGCAGGTTGAATCTTCCGTAACTCAAAACTCGCAATAACTTGACCCTTTGCTAACCCATTTTCTTTTTCTCTTTACCTC